CTCTCTCTCTCTCTCTTCCTAGCCTCTCTTCTCCCCCCCCCCCCCCTTTCAAAATCTGTGAAAACATATCCTTGGGTGAGGATTTAAAAAAAAAAAAAATTATCCCCTGGTGGGCTGTTCCATAGGTTACAAGTGGTCCCGATATGCTAAGGTTGTAGGTTTTATCCCCTGTTGGGGCACATATAGGAATCAACCAATGACTGCATAAATAAGTGGAACAACAAATTGATGTTTCTCTGTCTCTGCCTAACTCTGTCTTTCTAAAAATAATTTATAAAATTTCCAATCTTTCACCAAGTGGTATTTTTGTAAAATACAATAAAATGAGTTACTAGAAAAATGAAATTAAAAATACATGAAATACAAAACTGAGCTTTAAATATTGGATTCATAAGACTTAAAGCTACTTTTACAAATTGCTATAAAAGTTTCTAAATTTGTACTCTCAATTTCTGTGCTTATCTCATTGTGAATAGTAACAGTTTATAGTCCAGCACTGGTCCATGGACCCCACTTTGGTTGCACTGTTCTAGAAGGGTTTCTTCAGACTAACAGTCTAGAGGAGTTGACCTTTTTAGAATTCTATCTCAGAGTTTAGACAGTAGTACATTAGTAATAAATAATTCTTAACTACACTTGGATAATCTGAAATACTGTTTTTTACAGTATTGATTGAAAAAAATCCACACAGTTCAAACCTCTGTTGTTCAAAGGTCAACTGTATACAAATGATCCTATCTAATAAAGAGAGACTATGCTAATTGACCCTCATGCTGTCTCAAAGATGGTGGTGTCCATAGCCAATAAGGGGAAATATGCTAATTGACTGCCCCATCCTCAAAGATGGCGGTGTCCACAGCTACAAGATGGTGGCACCCAGTCCCCTCAGCCCTGACGGGGTGGCAAGCGCTTGGGAAGGAGTCCCCCAGTCCTCTCAGTCCCCCGGCCGCTCAGGTCTGGCTTGAGGTACAGGTAAGCCTCGGATGGCGGCTGCCCAGTCGCCCACGGCCACTTGAGGCTCAGGTAATGAGGGCAGCAGCAGAGGTGTGATGGAGCATCACCTTCCCCTGATCGCCAGGTCACCTCCCGCCCCTGAGAGACTCCCAGACTGTGAGAGGAGTCAGGCCAGGCTGAGGGACCCATCTCCCGCCCCTGAGGGACTCCCAGACTGTGAGAGGAGTCAGGCCAGGCTGAGGGACCCATCTCCAGTGCATGAATTTTCATGCACTGGGCCTCTAATATGAAATATAAAGTCCCAGAATGCAGAGGCTAAGGAGTACATCTGTTTAGTACATGTTTTGCGTCAACGAATGAAAATGGTGGTCTAAAAGTTACATGAATATTTTTATTGAGCAAATTAAATGTTTAGTGTAAAATTGCTTTTATAAAATGAGTAGAGGCACAGTGAATGTAATCGTGCATGGCAGGGGTCCCCTCAGCCCAGCCTGCACCCTCTCCAATTCGGGACATCCCTCTCACAATCTGGGACCACTGGCTCCTAACTGCTCATCTGCCTGCCTGCCTGATCACCCCTAACTGTCCCCCACTGCCAGCCTGATCACTCCTAACTACCTTTGCCTGGAGACCTGATCACCCCTAACGGCCCCCCCCCCCTGCCAGCCTGGTTGCCCCCAACTATACCCCTCTGCCAGCCTGGTAACCCTTAATTACCTCCCCCCCCCCAGCCTGGTCACCCCCAACTGGGCTCCCCTCCCCCTGCTGGCCTCGTCTCCCCTTACTGCCCCACCTGCCGGCCTGGTCGCCCCCAACTTCCCCCCTCTGCCGGCCTAGTCGCCCCACGTAGCCTGCTGTTGGGTCGTTTGGTTATACTCACTAACCCCCCTGCTGGCCTGGTCGCCCTATGCAACCTGATGGTCATCCATCCGATTGTTTCGATCATTATGGCCCATGGCTTTTTATATATTAGGATGTTGTACATTAAATGAATAGAAATAGTGTATAAGTTGGCCTGTCCCTGGGGATTTCTTTAAAAATATATTTTTTATTCAGAGTGGGAGAGAGAGAGAAGGAGAGAGAGAGAGAGAGAGAGAGAGAGAGAGAGAGAGAGAGAGACTTCATTGATGAGAGAGAATCATTGATTGGCTGCTCCCTACACCTCCCCTACTGGAGATGGAGCCTGTAACCTGGGCATGTACCCTTGATCGGAATTGAACCTGGGATACATCAGTCCACAGGCCGATGCTCTATTTACTGAGCCAAACTGGCTAGGGCCCTGGAGTTTTCCTATAGTATTTATTAATGTAAGAATCATCAGCATTCCCACAGTTGGAACAGAAGTCAGTGTAGGGTGTTTATGTAATTTGCTTTGACTTTGAACTGACCTTGGAGTGTGCTCGTCCACTCCATTCCACTTGCTCACCTGCGCTATTTATGCACTAGTTATCAGGTGCTTCCTGTGGGCCAGCAGGTATGTTGCTGGGCACTGAGGGATTCTAAGTGTAATTAACTATTTTATTATAGAGCTTTCAGTCTAGCAGAATATCTTTGTCACCTTGGATTTATCCTTATCTAAGGACAATTGCGGGTAAATAATTTTCTTTCTCCTAGACTGTTCAGAACCAACTCATTCTTAAAGGCCAGTCCTATTCAGCGACTCTTCCATGATTATGCTGGATAAAACTGGTTTCTTTGCTCTCTCAGATTCTATTGTGCTTATTTTTTTTAAGCACTAATTTGTCATTAATCATGTTAATTGCTTTGAGACTTGTATCTATTGTTGTCTTGAAGTGTTATTTAAATTGTGCCTTGTTTGACTTTCATAAGTTTGATTTTTCTTTTTGGATTACATTTTCCTGAGAATGGGCTCCTTTCTTTAACTCATAGCAACAATCTCAACTTTTTTTTATTATGCACCTCAAATAATTTGCTAATGAACCCCCAATGCATGCATATTATATTTATTTATTATAAAATATATTTATTTACATATGTAAAATATAAGTTAAGAAGAATGATGTAAGATGAAAAAAGCAATACCATACTAGTAATGTCATCCATAAGTAGAGATATAGCATAGAAACTGGGAATAACACTGGATGCCACATGAACTGGCAAACACATTTAAAAAATAGTTTATTTTCATAATTTTAAACACATTCTGGGTTGTCACTTATTTTGGTAATGGCATTTTGAAATCTTATGCTAAGAATTGAATCCATCATTTTCTAGTAGGACCTAGAAATAGATTTCAGGCTCAAGAGATATAGAGGATATATTTGGTGAATTAGGAACATCATATGTCATCAAATAGATAGTTCCATTCTGCTAGAGAACATTGTAAATAATCTACCTTACTGCAATTTCGTTTTATAGATTATTTTGATAGCTGTTAAGATAGCCCATATCAGTTTTCTAGCTTCTTTACTGCTTTGTTTCAGTATAGAAACTGATAATTTTAAAACTGATTTAGTCTGAGCGAAATCACTGATGACAGAGGAAATAAATTAGTTCTGTAAAATGAAAAAATGGTGAACATCAGCTAACAATAATTCACTCTAATTTGTGACTTAATAGTTATTTAACAGGCAGTTATTGGTCTTTGAGCCTATTTTATTTCACAGTCACCTGTTATTTTAGGTTGCCAAAGCTGAAGACTTCCTTCTCAGCTGATGTTGAATATTGTTAAGCACAAACGTCATTATCAAGAAAACAGGAAGCTGTGTAGGAGAACATGCCAAATGGTAAATTAATAGTCTGGGGAAAGGAAGCTGACGTAGACTCAGGGAAGGAACCCTGGACGCATCTACTTTGTTCTTTTTAGATGGCTTGAAGCATGGATATGGTTTGAATCATTATTTTTTACAGAAAATATGTGAAATAATAGGTTTAGCATTAAATTAGAAAGCATTTGTTTTGCTTAATTTTGCATTGTCTTAAAAATGCTAATGTCTTAAAGGATTATATTATATCTTGTTTTAGCTGTGTTAATCCAGATTAATTCTCAGCTATCACTATAACCATATAAAGTGCTGTGAAATTGCCAACTTTTCCTCTTTATAGTGGGACTTTAATGATCTCAGTAACTAGGACTTACTAATGACTTAAAGAGGATTCAAATCCAAATTTACCTTTCACTATTTATTTAAAGAGTTTATTTACTTAGAGTTTGCTAAATAAATCAGTAGTGTCACATTGAGCCTTTTTAATCAAGTTATAAGAGCGTTGTTCCCTCTTGTGTTTTGATGTACATGTATACAGTTCTAATACTTATTACTGAGAAAATAATTTTCTTTTCATTAAAACGTGGTAGAACACTCTTTTTGGCCATGTTTCATCAGCTTTTGCTTTTCATTATTATAGGTACTTAATAAAGTAGCATTTGTTAAAAACAATCATAATACACATTTTTCACTAAGTTTCCCCTTTAAAAAATATTTTTATTGATTTTAGAGAGAAAAGGTGAAGGAGTGAGAGATAGAAACATTAATGATAAGAGAGAAGCATTGATGGGCTGCCTCCTGCACTCCCCACCTTACTGCACTCCCCACTGGGTATTGATTGAGCCCGAAATCTAGGCATGTGCCCTGACCAGGAATCAAACGGGGGAACTCCTGGTTCAACACTCAACCACTGAGCCACACCAGCTGGGCCTGGGTTTTTTTTAGGCTGAGTAAAAGCTAAGAATCTGTATTTAAAATGTGACCATAAAGTTACTCTTATAATTCTTGGCATCAAAGATTATAGACCTCTTTTGGATGATATACCTATGTTAGAAGAAGAATACATTTCTTTTAGAAAAATAACTGAAGCAGTGTTGGTGTTTCTTGTTAGAAGGCATATATATTTTATTGTGAGATAAATGAATTATTTGTTTTAGGGTGAGTCTTACTGTCTTGGCCTCCATGACCACTGTGGGCTTTATTTTGTTCTGTAAGCCATTGTATTAATCTTTTATTTATAAATCACTTTTTTATTTATTTGTTAAATATCTTAAATATGTGAGGTTAAAAAAATATATTTTGTTTTTCTTTTTTTAAAAGATGCACGTCACTAACTCCTGGACCCAATTGTGACCGATTTAAACTGCATATACCATACGCTGGAGAGACATTAAAATGTAAGTCAGTGATGACTGTTTTACTAAAAGTGTAGATTACAGAAATTGTTTTAGGGTTCAGTTCTTCTGGGGATGATCTATATAGTTAAATAATATGCTTGTGCTTCTGTTTCTTGACTTATTAATTTTAGGTTTTGACCTTCTCCTGTGATACATGAAGCATCAGCCTGTTTTCACTTCATCCTTTATCTCTTCCTTTTCTTCCTCTTTAATGTAATTATATCATCACTATTGGTTCTGTGTTGGTTACATTTTTAAGGATTCTTTAAAGTGTTGTGTAGTACAGTTAAATGTACAGCCTGTAAACATTCTTAGTAAGTGCCTGGCACAGCGTTAGCACTGTTATTACTTAAGCACAGTCTCTCTACAGTAACAGTGAACATGTTGTATGATCTGATTATAAATCCCTAACTGGACAGGTCTTGGTAGATAGTTATGCCCTGGGCCTATAACTTTATTTTATTTATATTTAAAATGCACAATTAAAATTGACATACAATATTATTTTATATTAGTTTTAGGGGTATGGAATAGTGGTTAGACATTTATTGCAACACTAGAGGCACGGTGCATGGATTTGTGTACTATTCTGTAATCCCATCCTCTCCTTTCTTTCTTCAGTCTTCATTATGTACCTTAATTTCAAATGCATAAAAGAAGCTGCAAAACTCTTGTTTTATGCGAGCATTTGAGATCTTGCTCCCTGGCATATGTTGTAAGTTTCACTCAAATAAACTTGTGAAAATCTACAGGTTTGGACATTTCTTACCTAGACAGTAAATATTCCCTGTGGAGCTTTTCTTAAAAGCTTTTCTTAAAAACTATATTGTTACTGATTTCAGAAAAGAAGGGAGAGGGAGAACAAGACAGAAACATCAATGATGAGAGAGAATCTTTGATTGGCTGCCTCCTGTACACTTTCTACTGGGGTGATCCTGCAACCCAGGCATGTGCCCCGACAGGGAATCGAACCATAACCTCCTGGTCCGTAGGTTGATGCTCAGCCACTGAGCTATACTGGTTGGGCTCCCTGTGGAGCTTTTAATTACAAACTTCCCCTCTTTTAGCTCCATGTCTCATTCTTGCCTCTCCTTACACCAATGATTGCAAGTTTTTATGGATTTACCAGGACAGATGGCTTCCTGCTCATCAGTAGCCTCTTTCTCATGTTACTGCAGCCAGACCTTTCTCTGCCCTGTTTCATCAACTACTACACTTCCATCTGCATTCTGCCTTCTAGGAATTTGTTGAAATTCTCATCTACTGATTGCTACTCTTTCTTCTTCCTCTTCACTCTCTTGTTTTGGATTTTTACCTTACTCTTTCTTCACTATCATTTAATGGAAGGGTGGGTCTTGCATTGATTATAGTATACAACTTTAAAGTTTTTCATTAAATCCCATTGAAAAGTTATAATGAGTGATTTAAAATATAATTTTAACCAAGGCTGAATCAAACTATTTGGAGCTTATGGTAATTTTATTTAAAAACTTTAAACTCAATGAAATTTGAGATGGAGATGGTATTGTTTATTAAGTTACATCTTCAGTCCCTTGCACAGTAAAGTTAGTCAATGAATTTGTTGAAGAAATGAAATGAATTTATGCATAAATTAATCTTTGTGTTCAGATTTTTGTTGTTTGAAGTATACTGTTAAAGAGAATGTGACATTCTGTTATGTTATCTTTTACCAACATAAATTCAGTTTTTAGAAGTTATTTATTATACAAGGAATTTGTGACTGGAACATTGCTCTTTAACAGTACAGAAATCTGTGTCAGTTTTCTCTTTATATATCTTACTCAGCTTTCTCAAAGCAGATCAGTGAAAATAGCATATTAGTACAACTAAATTTTATATTTTAGAATATTTTATATATCAGAAAACAGTTTTCTATAAATGTTTATCTGTGAAGGAAGGAAATTTTGTGCAGTTAAGGATATTGAGAATGAAAGACAAAGGGAGGGTATATTTCTACCCATGAATTCATGAATTGATTCCTATAAGAATTATCCAGATTCAAAATTAAGTAAGTGAAACACAAAGGACCTACAGATTGCAGTACATTAGGAATGATGTTACTCAGCTCTATTAATGTGAAGAGACAACTCTTCAATTTTGGGACAGTGAAAGAGTTACCACGTTGTGTAAGATTCTTATGGGAAATATCAAAGGCTACCTGAATTTAAGAGAAAATCTGGAATTTCATTGTTGTAGAAGAGACAGCTGGTACTTAAAGAAGATTGGGAAAGTACACCTTCCAATGGTTGGTTTAAATAAAATACATGTTATGATGGTGCCACTAAAATGAGTGAAAATTTACCAGTTGTAGTAAAATTCACAGAGGAAGTTCAGTGAGCTTCATATAAATGCATATTTGTAAAAAAATAGCCATCCTCGTCACGATCTACAGCACTTAATTTTTGAAGAGATTATGCTTGTGTTTTGTGTACCCTATTTAAATAAGGCAGAGAATAGGCTGTTTTGATCATATTTTATTTCCAATCTCTGGAGTATTGCCTGGCATTTAGAGGGGGCTCAGTAAGTGTTAGTAGAACGAATGAACCATCTTTATTCTTTGGATCTGGAAATGATGAGGTTTGATGAAGAAGTGACAGAACTCTAAAGTATTTTTAGTTTTACAAGTTGGTTAAATAACACTATGTAACTATAAAGAGAGATGATTGAAATACTGTAAGTTACTGGTATACCAGTCAAGTCTGTGGTTGGTAAAGCAAATGGTTTGCTAATTAGTTTCAAATTTGAAATGCTCTTTTTTTAAAAACAATTTTTCATAGTAACAGTTTACTTTAATCAGGGACTGTTTGGTTATAAGAAGCCCATTGGAATAAACATAAAATAAAGAGGCTTTTCTGTTTGTCTTTATAAGAAATTAAGTGAATTCCATGGTGTCCATGGGTAAGGAAGTATAGCCACCTCTCATAGGCACTGGAACCAGGGACTCCAGAAAAATGGTATTCACCATCGTAGCCAGTCAGTATCTGTGTCTTTGTGTTTTTCTCCCACATCATATTCTATTGTCACTTTACTCTCCTCACCCTGACCCCTCTAAATTTCTGTTTCTTTTCACATAGAATATAAAACACTTCCTGAGCCTCTTAAGTGGTGATTCAATTCAAGGCCACCAGAGGTAGCCTATGGTCTTGGAATCTAAATTCCTGGGAGAGAGGGTCTGATTGGCAGTTTGGACTGGGTGTCCACTCGTGATCTAGTCATTTAGCCAAGAGTTCTGGGTCATGTATTAACAGCCTGGTTACTAGAGGCCAGTTTAGCACAAGGTCAGCATGGGCTTGGGCAGGTACTCTGAGAAGCATCTGTTGCACTGTCTCAGGAATTCTTTCCAAAGAGCTTCCAAATGAAACTGTAGACATTTTCCACTTTATCTTTAGCAATAGAAGCAATACTATTGTTTATCATCTGAGAGGAATGATGACTATTTCAAAGCCATTTGTGATAGTGAAGAAGTCATGCCAAGAAATTATCTCCAAATATTTTGAAGTTGACTATTCCAGAGGAAAAACTGAAAAGAAAAAAAAAAAAGATTATGATTTGGATAATATATTCTCTCCCATGTTCTCATAGGAGCAGTGTAAAATTACCATTCATTTCTGAGGCTTCAGTAACATATTACTGAATGTAAGTTTGTATTATTTTTGGAGAATAATTACAATGAAATTAAACCAATCTCAAACTGCTATTTAAATCCATGCAACATTTAATTAAACGATAGTCAAACATACAAAGATTTTAATAGACACGTTGCAAATAGTGTTCTAGAACTTCTGCCTTATTGAATATTGAAATAAATTTCAATTTGATCCTATCTAAAGTGGTTTGGGTGATATGTGTGTGTTCTTACAGCCAAACATAGTTTCCAAGATCACCTGCAAGGAGAGTAGGAATTAACTATTTTTACTATGACTTGTAACAATTGAGCTGAGTAAAAAGCTGGGCACTGTGTAAGTGGATTTAGTATTTTGCATCATGCTGAGAGGCATTATAATTTTCCTTGGTAGCTTAGTTAATTTTACTTTATTTTTATCTTTTCAAAGGATTCATTTACTGAAAGATTATTATCTAGCATTCAGGGTATTTTTAGAGTCTAATTAGGGAGACAGGTCACCTTTGATTTAGTGAATGTTCTAAAATGCTCATTGAAAGGTATGAAAGGTAAGTAAGAAGTGCTAATTTTGTGGATTAGACATTCTTTCTCCTTTGTTCTGGTATTTCAGAATTTTTTTTTTTTTGAGTTCATGGAATGTTTAAAAATTTTTTAAGGATAGCAATTAATATTAACTTATAAATTCATCTTAGTTATAGGTAAATATAGAAAAATAAATAAATTTGGCTTTGATGCTGATTATAGTTTATTAAATGTGGCTGATAAATTGCTAAACTAACTTACTGAGCATTTATTTTATAAAGAGGTTTATTTAAACACACTGTCTCCTTTAATCACACAATAATTCTGAGATGTATAGCCCACTTTTTAATATTAACTTTATTGAAGTATAATTTACATAGAATAAAACTGGAGGCCCAACGCACAGTAGCTTGCTTCCACTTGCCTCAGCTGGCCACCCTGCCCATGGCCACCGCTCATAGCCCTCTGCTGCTCATAGCTCGCTGGCCCGCCCTCTGCTGCTGGTAGCTCTCCCCTGCTAGTAGGTCATGCTCCGCCCTGCTACCACGAGAGCCGATTTTCATTTGGTCGTGACGGCATTACGGCCACAGGCCTTTTATTAATATAGATGTACCTATTTTAGATGTACAGTCACATAAATTTTGGCTGTTGTAAATACCTATATTAATTACTTCACCACAGTCAAAATATATAACATTTTCATCCCGCAAAGATAAAGAACATTTTCTTCCCTCCTTAAGTCAGTCCTCTGCCACCATCTCCCCACTCCCTGAGCTTTTATTCTTTCTGAAACTATAAGACAGTTTTTCTTGCTTTAGAATTTCATGTAAATGGA